TTTTTACTTGTAATGGGATGTTCATTGAATAACTTTGATACTGCAGACACCCCTCCTGCTGGTGAAACAGATTATTGTAGGGAGACAGTAAACTGGCACCACCTGTCATGGATTATGAACGGTCAGTGTATCTTTTGGTCATTGGATTTTCATTTTAGAAACGGGCATTAAAAAACAGGAAACAAGTGGATATTTGATTTTTGTTTTAAAATATTGAAATTAAAATTAAAATACAAAGCGTTTCTCATTCTTAGTGTCAAAAGGGGATGTGCAAATTTTTTTAAATGATTTGAGTTTTATTTTCGGTTTCAGATAGCATAAAAGAAAATTACTTTAAGACAGAAACGAAAAAAGACTTGTTTGTTCATAATCCATGAGAGGTCGTGCCAATTTACTATCTCCCTACAATAAACTGTTTCACCACCAGGAGGGGTGCCTGCAATATCAAAGTTATTCAATGAACATCCCATTACAAGTAAAAAGCATTGATGTTGACTTCGGTAGCAAATATATTTGCCAAGTATTTATTTGGTATCAGATCAATATCGAAGTCGTAGTACCACCCACCCTTCGCTGAAAGGAAAACTCCAAGGACGCAAACTGAGAAAAAATTAAACTACAGATTTTGAATTTCAGGATGGGAAAACTCAGGACAAAAAAAACTTTCTACTCACAGATCAACAATCGTACAACACACTAATGGAATGAAATTTATCTTATTTAGTTTTTTTATTGAGAGAAATGGAAGTAGCCGACATGTATTCGGTAAAAGAGACTTATTTGACCAAAAGCCACATGAATTACCTCTGCAAAACCTTTGGTCACAGAGCGACAGTCATCATACAACTCATTTATGGACATACACGTCTGTGTTTCAGCCTTTTATTTACACCCTTCGCTGAAAGGAAAACTCCAAGGACACAAACTGACAGAAAAAAGCACAGATTTTGTCAAAACTCAGGAGGGAAAAAAACTTTCTGCTCACAGAACAACAACTGTACAATGCACTAATAGAATGAAAGTTGTCATATTTTGCTGTTTATTGAGAGGAATGGAGGTGAAGTGGAGGCAGTAGCTGACATGTATTCAGTAAAAGACTTATTTGGCCAAAAGCCACATGAATTACCTCTGCAAAGCCTTTGGTCACAGAGCAACCGTCATCATACAACTCATTTATGGACATATTTCCCTGTGTTTTCAGCCTTTTATTTACAGAAATTAGTATTTTATTATGCAGAGCTGCCAGGCGAGCGCCCCCTCTGGTGGGGGAATAGATAGGCGTAGAATACAAACAAATGAGCCTTTTTTCCGTTTCAGTCTTWAAATAATTTTCTTTTTTTTTGCTATCTGAAACAGAAAATGAAACTCAAATCATTTTTATCCCCTTTTGACACTAAGAATGAGAATGGCTTTGTATTTTAATTTTAATTCCAGTATTTTAAAACAAAAATCAACTATCCACCCGTTTCTTGTTTTTTAATGCCCGTTTCAAAAATGAAAATCCARTGACCAAAAGATACACTGTCCGTGGTCTTACATGAGCAAATTCATAGAAACAAATGTTCATGAAGACTGAAGCATGGTCCGAGACTGAGCTGTCATATTTGCAATCTGAAGTTTTAAACCGAACCCTCGACAAAGACAGACGTAACAAATTCAGCTTGGACTTGAAAACACCACAACAGAAGGCTCTGGTTCCCGTTCGACTTTTAAAAACTCTAAAACCAAGTCTCCCTGCAGTCTAAGAAGGAGATATTATGTTAGAAAAGTAGCTAAAGTGGTGTTCAAAACACTTCGAAGCATTTATAATGATTTGTTGTGTTTTTGTTTGTGCAGGTTCTGTGGACGTTCGGTGCCACCGTCACTTACAAGTTCTGACAACCAGATGACTCTGCTGTTTGTGTCTGATTCAAGCCTAACCCAGGAGGGCTTTTCTGCCAGTTATGTGTCTATAAATGCCACCACAGGTACCCAACACATTTACCAAATGACTGTTATATCTTAGGTAGGCTTCAACGCAATGTGCTTTTTAAAATAAAAGAAAGTTACGTGTTGCACGTGATACCAAAAATCTCCAAAATTTACCAAAGCTTTTTATAAGAGTATAATTTACTGCGTTTTAAATTTGGATTAAAAACACAGTATTCTAAATACTATCTAATACCCATTTTTTATGTCTCTTTAGATTGTGGTGGGACCTTCACCTCTCCAACAGGTTCTTTCAGTTCACCTAACTACCCCGACTACTACCCAAACAGCAGAGACTGCGTGTTTAAGATCATTGTTCAGGTCAACATGCAGATTCTGCTGAACTTCACAGCATTCGATCTAGAGGGCACTCCTCCATCTTGCAGCTACGACTTTGTGGAGATCAGGTGAGGAAAGAACTACAGTCACAGATCTTTGTGTAGCAAAACGAGCTTAAATGTTGATGTGCCTGAATGTGATTTCTGATTTTGCAGGGATGGTGGTTATGAGACGTCTCCCCTCGTTGGTAAGTTCTGTAGCAACCAAAAACCTCCAGTCCTGGTGTCCCACAGCAACCGTTTATGGGTCCGGTTCCGCTCTGACCCCTCGCTCACACGCCAAGGATTCCTTGCCCATTGGGATGGAACACAGACGGGTACGGATTTATTGTTTTCTCTTTTACATTTTGATATTTTACAGGTTTCTGAGGGGAGGGAAAGAGTGGTGGTGGTTTTGTCCGGGGAAGGGGTCAATGAGTGGTCTTCTTTTATTCAAATGATTGGTGGTTCCAGTCCCCCACAGCCCAACCCTCACTCCTGATTACCACCAATATTTTGGTCTGTGGATGTTTGCTGTACAGATAGAGTAGAAAACAGTGTGTAAAAATATTATGAGAGGCTTTAAAGCTGCTTATTTTTCTTATGAACATTATCTACTGTACAATGTATTAGTCTTTTTGTCAGATCATTGGATAAAAATGGAACTCATCCTTTTTTAAGTGTTATTTTCTAAAACATTTTTAATTTATTTTTTCATCGCTCATTTAGTTTGATTATTTTGTCTTCCAAGGCTGTGGAGGAACACTAACAACAGCRTCTGGAGGGTTTTCTTCTCCCAACTACCCTCTGCCGTACCACCCTAATGCTGAGTGCTACTGGCACATTAAGACCAGCCAGGGCAGTCAACTCCAGCTGTCTTTCTCAGACTTTCACCTGGAGTCCAGCTCATCTTGCTCCTTTGATTACCTAGCAGTGAGTAATGTATCTTAACGAAGTACTTCACACCCTAGTGTTCGATGCTGTGGACAGTGCAGCCATTGTTATATTGTTAAATTGTGTCTTCAGGTGTTTGATGGAAACAGCAGCAGTGCTTCAGAGTTGGCCAGACTCTGTGGCACACAGCTCCCAGGCAATATCAACTCTTCCAGCAATCAGTTGTACGTCAAACTCCGCACAGACAGCAGCATCAACGCAGGAGGCTTCCTCGCATCGTATCAATCCAGTATGAACTGACTCACGCCGCCTTTGAAATGCAGTGTCTTGTTTTGCTTGTATACTTTTAAAAATATACTTGTAAATGAGAATAATAATTGCAGATGTGAAAAAGAATGAAAGTTAAATTATCTATGTCAAAAGAGTTATTGTGTAATAATAAAATGTGCTGTATAAATAATAAGAAAGCCAAGCAGTTTGCAAGGTAGTTATCTTAGTGATTAATGCGTGAGAAACAATGTATGTTTAAAATAGGTGTAGAAAAATGTGCAACAATACTACACTGAGTTGTTATAAAAATATGAAAACTTTCAGTAACATCACAAAGTAGAAAACCTAAACATGATCAAACTCAATAGTTACAAATAAAATGTATCTCCACACAAATGACAGAACATGGGCTAATATTTACAATCCTGCTAGGTGTCACTGCAACAATGACTTGGAGAACTGGGCAGCTAGTTTTTATAATTTACCAATGTTAGTGATTGAATGTTAATATTGTGTTCCTATTAGAGGCTAAATCAAAAAATATAATAATTTCAGTGCTGCACTGTATCTACTCTGAGTGCCTGGCTGTGTTTGTTTTCAGAATGTCAGAACATCCTGATCTCAGGTCGACACAGTGGCGTGGTCGAGTCACTGAACTTTCCAAATGACTACCCAGCCAACTCTCTGTGCAGCTGGACCATCCAGGCCACCAGTGGAAACACCATCAATTACACTTTCACTGCCTTCCAGTTAGAGGGCTCCTCTGGCTTCTGTTCTTTTGACTACATCCAGGTACACAGATCACCTGAAGACAGAACCACGCAGAATTCCATAATTTTATATATATANAATACACAAAAACAGTAACACAACTAATAATCTCATTTGAACAATGTCTGTATTTCTCACACATGCCTTGAAATCACCACTGCTGCTCACTCCCTGGCAGAGAGTGGCTTGTAATGTTGTAAGACTGAGTGGCAACAACATCAAACTGTCCATTTTAGCTGTATCTTTGAAAGTCTGTCTCTGTCTCACTTTGAGTAAATGGAGGAAGAAAAAGCAATATCGGCTTCAAGAATCGGCCCCCGCAAAAACTGGCAGCCCATATCGGGGGTCTGTTAGATGATGTTGAAATAAYCAGCACTGGCATCTGCCTTAAAAACCTGTATCGGTCAGTCTCTAAAAGAGTGTCTCTTTTCCTTGAGCTGTAGGTAGAAAGGTGGTAAAATTCAAGCTGTTGTCTTTAATCTTTGTTTGTCTCCAGATATTTGATGGACCAAATGTTCACCACTACCCACTCGGGACATTTTGCGGTCTGGCCCTGCCCGGCCCACTTAGAAGCTCGGGAAGCACCGTCACCCTGCAGTTCCAGACAGACTCAGTGGTGGGAGGACGAGGCTTCCTTGTGGAATGGACCGCTGTGCAGGACTCTGGGCCACCACCGACTATCACACCAGGTGAGACTCAGACGTTTCTCCCTGTCGGACTGTACACATAAAAAAAGACGATGAGGTGATAATTTATTATTTTTTATTCCAGTTTAAATTAAGAAGTTTTGTTGTGTGTGTGTGTTTCAGGTGCATGTGGTGGACTGCTGATGACAGGAGAGACTCCAGGTTTCTTCTACTCCCCTGGATGGCCTGAATCCTACCCTCCTAACCAAGAGTGCACATGGCTCATCCGCTCTCCAAACTCTATTGTGGAGTTGAACATCTTGGCCCTGGACATGGAGGGCTTCCCACCCTGTTATTTTGACAGCATCACTGTCAGAGATGGTGAGCTTGAACAGGATGCTGTAATAACAAACAAATTATACTATTTATTAGATCAAATACAGCCTTCAAAAACAATTGTTCAATAAACCTGAATAGCTTGCCATAATTATGGAAGGTGTTGTATATTTGACAAAAACTGATGACATGCAGTGAAGTTAAATCTAAAATGTAAAAAAAAGATAAATAAATAAGATGTTTTAGAKAAGATTAAACTTATTTCCTCACTCGTTATGCTCTGCTTTATGTGACTGTTTGTTCTCAGGTCCATCCAGCCAGGCTCCGGTCCTGGCCAGCGTGTGTGGCCGAGAGCCTCCGAGTTCCCTCCATTCATCAGGAGACTCCATGTTCATTCACTTCTCTTCAGACAGCTCCATCAGCGGCCAAGGCTTCAATGCCTCCTACTCCAAAGGTGGTGCACGGATACGAATGATTCATTTACAAACACTTAATCAATAAAACCCATAATACATTCTTCTGTGCTGGAAACTCATAACAGAAAAGATACGATCCTTTTTTTCCTGCATCTCCGTCCTGCTCTTTATATCACCTTTTTTAGGAGGGTGCAGAAAGGATTCAGACCTTTTTCCCTGTTTTCAATGTTATTTTTGTTGTTACATTCATTTAACTCTCAACTTGTCTTGGGGGAAAAATCATAACTGCTAAAATATTTTTTGACCATCATAAACTGCTAGTCAGTCTTGAAATAAAAACATTAAACTTTTAGTTACTTAGGGGTCTTTGGTTTGAGAAAACTCCACAATTTTTTTCAACTCACAAAGTTCCTCACAGCTGAGGAGCCACTGAGTCAATGCGCACCACAGCACAAAGGGGGCACCTAATTTATACTAGAAACACATTTGCATCACATTTGCTACACATTTGCAACACATTTGCATCACTCAAAATTTTATCATTTAGAACTTCATGTATCATCGGTCCCATTTTTCTCACAATTTAGGCATTTCATTCATTAAAGAACATAAACAGCTTTGTTGTTTTGTTTTAGGTTGTGGTGGCCTCCTGCATGTAGACAGAGGTGTGGTGAGCAGTCCTCACTATCCCCAGAACTACATGTCTGGTCTAGACTGCATCTGGCATGTGATGGTTACACCAGGCTTCAGAGTTTCTGTGACTTTCTCCAGCCCCTTTCAGATTCAGGGCTTTGGAACTGCATGCAGCTCAGGAGACTACCTGGAGGTAAGCAAAAAGGATCGCAAGAGAGTCATATTAAACAGTTATTATGAAGAATAGCAGGTTAACTGTTCTGTTGCTACAAGAAGCAGTTTTGTTAGGAGTAGTTGCATTTACTTAGTGTTTTTAATTAGCATCAGATAATGTGAAAACACAATTCCTTTCATTATCAAAGGTCTGGCATTCCTTGAAGGAATGCATATCCTTCTCTGCATTTTATGCCAGAACTATGGACATTGTAGCCACTTGGAAAATTGAAAATTGTTTCACATATAGGCTCATGAATTATTTAGAGATGTCATCTGAAGGGTTGTGTTGCTAATAACTCTCAGCTACTACCAGCTCAATGCAGCGAGAGATTTGCATTCATTCAGTGAATGCTAGGCATATAAGTGATGAGTGGTTTTGGATAAATTAAGAGATTTCTTGAACAAAAAACAAACAAGGCTTTAAGATCAATAAACTTTTTTGAACATTTCGTCTTTCTTTTTAGCTTTCTTAACTTGAATTTGTATTTGGGCTTTCTCTCTGTTTTAACCCTCTATGTCAGTGAAATCAAGTCCAGTTAGTATTTGTTTTTTCACAGCTCAGAAATGGTCCAGATGCTTCATCTCCACCTCTGGGGCAACGTCTATGTGGTGCAAATCCTCCACCCATCCTCCAGACTACAGACAACCACCTTTTTGTGCACTTTGTATCTGATGCGAGTAACGAAGCCAGTGGCTTTAAGCTGACTTTTGAAGCCCACAGTCAGGGTACAGTTCCTCTTCCTCTCTCTCTGGGTGGATGGATGGATGGATGGATGGATGGATGGATGGATGGATGGATGGGTGGATGGATGGATGGATGGATGCATGCATGGATGGTTGGTTGGTTGGATGGATGGATGAATGGATGGATGGATGGATGGATGATGTCCACCATCCTTGTTATATAAACTAATAAACCAAACTAAAATGACAACACTTTGTGTCTGAAAGAGAAATTCGTACAAATACCTGAACAAAGGGGTCAGGTGCAAAAAAAACCCCAAAAACATTTGTTTACATTTCAGAAGATTGATTTTGTGCTTGGATTAAAAAAACTGAAGTGTCAAAGTTTGATAAATAAAATGTGTGTCTGCAGGTTGTGGTGGGGATCTTTCTGGTCCTAGAGGCTCCGTCAGCAGCCCAGGATATCCAGTGAAGTATCCTGAGAACACAGAGTGTATCTGGTATATCAACACAGCACCAGGCAGTAGTATTACTGTCACTATCCATGAATTTGATGTTGAATACCACCAAAACTGCAACTATGATGTGCTTGAAGTAAGTTATGGATTTATTTCTACTCAACTAAAAACAGTTCATTGTTATTGCATCAAACCTGTGCATTTCAGTGAAAAGCTATGTAACATGGGCAGAGTCCAGATTGACTTGGCCTTTGGTCAAGTTCTGACCAGAGTCTAGACTTTGAGAATTGCTGTCATGAATCATAATACTGCTATGTAGGTCTACAGAGTACCACTGTGCTTGTGTGCACCAATGTGCTAAGCAACCACACAAAGCACTACCAAAGATAAGAGCATGTACTATATAATCTGTCTTTGCTGCATCTTAAGTCTGAAATAATTATCCATGGCAAATGACTGCCATTACACAATCATAAAATCAAAACAAGACAAAAATGTGTGTTCAACTCCAGCAGAGAGACAGTGTCTCCAGCATGTCCTTTCAAAAAACCTTACATCGAGGCTGGAAGGAGCACAACAGATGATACATTTTATTTAAATAACAATCAATGTGTGTACATAATCAAATAAATGTTTCTTCAGTAAATGTGTAGTTTATTTTTTAGTGTTTTTTAATTAATGCAAAAAGCATTTTGATCTTCACTTTAACTTCTGTGTAGGTATACGGAGGCCCAGACTTGTCAGCCCCTAAACTGGCTGAGCTCTGCAGCACCACAGTAAAGCCAATGCAAGTTTCCAGCACTGGCAACCTACTGACTGTGCGCTTCAAGTCAGATGCTTATGTCAGCGGTCGAGGGTTCAATGCAAGCTGGGAAGAAGTCCAAGGGGGTAAGTAAGCATTTACAGCTGTACAATCTTTTAAATCTTGCCTGAAAAGTCATTTCTTTACACTGACTTGTGATTTAGGTTGAGGTTGTGTTGTTTTCTTGTTGTGCGAGATCATCCATTTTTCTTCTACATTTTTGGCACACCTCTCGTTNTATCGTAGTCAATAAAGTTTATCTAAAAATAAATATTTATTTTACAAAACAATTATTTACATACAAACTCATTGGAAGGTGGATAAGGGTTTTACATAAGTTGAA